TGCAGGCTGCATCAGACACACACAGGCATGCAGGCTGCAGCAGACACACACAGGCAGGCAGGCTGCAGCAGACACACACAGGCATGCAGGCTGCAGCAGACACACACAGGCATGCAGGCTGCAGCAGACACACAAGGCAGTCAGGCTGCAGCAGACACACACAGGCAGGCAGGCTGCAGCAGACACACACAGGCAGGCAGGCTGCAGCAGACACACACAGGCAGGCAAGCCGATGCAGACACACACAGGCAGGCAAGCCGATGCAGACACACACAGGCAGGCAGGCTGCTGCAGACACACACAGGCAGGCTGCTGCAGACACACACATGCATGCAGGCTGCAGACACACATGCAGGCAGGCTGCAGCAGACACACACACACACATGCAGGCTGCAGACACACATAGGCAGGCAGGCTGCAGCAGACACACACAGGCAGGCTGCAGACACACACACACACACAGGCAGGCTGCAGCAGACACACACAGGCAGGCTGCAGACACACACACACACACACAGGCAGGCTGCAGCAGACACACACATGCATGCAGGCTGCAGAGAGCCCACAGCACTTGACAAAGGCTTGAGGGGTGAGTGGTGTCCCCAGCAGAACCATGAAGCGGGTGCTCAGGTACTTCACAGACCAATTTATTTTAACTCCTCTTACTTAAAAAATATATTTTTAGTACATTTTATTGTCTCTCTGTGTGTGCATGTGTCTGTATATGCTTGTGTGTGTCCATGTGTACATGATGTGACACTTGTGTGAAGGTCAGAGTGGGTCGTGGAGATGAAGCTCGGGTCATCAGGCCTGGCAGCGAGGGCCTTGACCCACCGAGCCATCTTATGGGCCTTCCTTTTACTTTTAAAGAGAATTTCTATGCTTTTCCTTTCTGAATGGATTAACAGTTGAAAGCCTCGATATCGCTGTGTTAGAGGACGGTACAACCACGGCGCGACTCGTCTGCACTTCCTGTCGTCTTTAGTGTTTTGGCAAAAGTGTCCATGTGCAGTAGGCAAGGGTCATGTTTCAGAGAAGCTGGGAGCACGCATTGGCTGAGGCTGGCTTCACTCAGAGGTAAATGCTCGCTCTCCAGCCACAGGTCTCAGGAACCTGTCTGGGCCTCAGTTCCCTCGACACTGTCAATCGACACACAGGACATCAGAACGGCCACAGCTTGCAGCACGTTCCATTAAGACGTGAGCCGCCTTTAGTACTCACACAGTCAGGTAGAAGTGGGCAGTGGGGGCTGGAGAGGCGCTCGGCATTTGAGAGCACTGGCTGCTCTTGCAGAGGACCTGGTTTGGTACCCGGAACCCGCATGGTGGCTCCCAACCACTTGTGACTCCAGTTCTCGGGGATCCAACACCCTCTTCTGACCTCCACAAACACCAGGCACACATGTGGTGCATAGATACACATGCAGCAAAACACTCATAAACAATTCTTTTTTGTCTGTTTAAGACAGGGTCTCATTGTATAGCCCTGGTTGTTCTGGAACTTGCCATGTAGACCAGGCTGGGCTTGAACTCACAGAGATCCGCCTGCTTCTGCCTCCAGAATGCTGGAATTAAAGGTGTGCGCTAGCACACCTAACATAAGTCTTCAAAAGAGAAAAGAAAAGCCCGACAGTATGGGAACCAGACTTCTTCACTGCCAGACTCCCTGGGGTTCATCTCAGAAGGTGACCAGGCACAGTGACTTTCAAAAGGGAATCTTGGTGTCCCTGTCACCGCCAATAATTTAGCTTAGGGATTCTTTCCTTGAGGAAAAAATGTCCCATGACTCAGTGTTCCACACGCTAACACATTTTTGGACAAAATTGGAGGGTGGCATGGGTTAAGAGGGGGCCATGTGCTGCGGTATCCACAACCACTAACCTCAGAAAACCAGGTGCACCCAGCGATGCTCTGGGACCAAGGCAGGAACACAGCACCTGGGGTGCCTTTCAAGAGGGCAGCCTGTCCTGAGGACAGCCCATAGCTCGCATATCTTTCTTCACCCGCCAGGACTTCACCCCTGCTGTGTTTTCAGGTTGAAGGAACATGAACTTAGCGGCCACCTTGACTTCTGCTTCTGCCGGGTGACCGGGTGACCCGGCTGACAGCGAAGTTAAGATGACCTAGTTCTGGTGCCGCTGTAAGGTCCCAGTGAGACAACTCGGGAGGACTCTCCAGCCGCAATCGCCCACGGTGACCTCTCAGCAGCCGGCACTCTGTGACCACTGCCTGCCCCCAGAGTGCAATCGCTGTCTACCTCAACAGTCTCCAGTCATTCTTTACCACTTCATACTTCACTACAGCCAAGCGTGAGAGTGTGTATGCGTGTGTGAGCGTGTGCCCATGCGTGTGTGCTTCTCCTCAGGCCACCGCCACACTTAAAGAACAAGTTTCTTTTACCTTTCCTGGTAGACTTGGAATCCCTTGAGAGCAAATCAAATTTCTCTCTTGCCTCTGAGATGCAGCAGCATTTGCACCCCAGAGGGCTGGGAGCCCTCAGGAGACACACGACCCACGTGATCATGTGATCTGCCTGGCAGGCCTGTGAAGACTGGGGTGTCAGCACAGGCAGGATATGAGAGGCACCCCTCCCTGCCTGGGTCCCACCCGCCCACCCGTCCTCGGGCCCCGCCCACTCACCCACGATGGAGAGGATGACCACCACGAAGTCGAAGATGTTCCAGCCGATGGTGAAGTAGTAGTGCCTCAAGGCAAACATCTTGAGCACGCACTCGCAGGTGAAGAAGATGACGAAGACCAGGTTAATCCAGTAGAGGATGTTCTCCATCTGCTTGCTCTGGGTGTCCGTCTCCACCATCATGGTCACCATGTTAAGGCAGATGAGCATCATGATCACAATGTCAAAGGCTTGCTGAGTGACGAAATCAAAGACGATTCCCTGGATTTTGTTCTACGAAGGAAAGATAGGCAAGTGTTCACGGGAAGTATCCACGGCAACCTTTAGACCCACAGAGCCGCTGCCCAGCCCTTCCTGTGGCCCTCGTCGCCTGCTCAGGGACGGTGGCCGGCGTCCCGAGTATCTGTCAGGGGCCTGACAGCCTGCATCAGGGTAGCTGGGCTCAGCGCGTCCTCAAGCACCATCCTGCTCTACTGGGCGCATGACTTCACCACACGGGAGGCCTTCTTCCTGGTCAGCTGCCGCCTTCGTCCTGAATTCCTTCCTTTCCGACACAGGGAACAGGGGAGCCGGGCCCCAGCCTCCGTCACCATCTCCGCTCACACTTCTTCACTAGCTCTCCTGATGACTCCTGAGAGTGCCGACTTACCATGCCCTCCCCAAGCACCCAGCTCATTCCTCTCCCTTGTTCATCTCGGCTCTGAAGCCACAAAGCTGAGGGTCGCCCTTGCCTCTCTCAGCCCCCAAACACAGTCAGTGGCTTTGAGGCCAGGTCTCCCTCTGTGCTAGGCCTGGCCTGCAACTCAACGATGCGGCCCATGCTGGCTGGAATTCAAAAGCCATCCTTCTGCCTCAGACTCCAGTGTGCTGGGACCACCGGCCCAGATCTGAGCGGACGTGCGTGCGCGTGCGTGCGTGTGCATGTGCGTGTGCATGTGCGTGTGTGTGCAAGCGTGCATGCATTTGTAATGTTTATAATAGTTATGTTACAGATTTGTTTACATTTAATGTGGATGCATGGTATGTGTACATGTGTACCCGGAGAGGAGACTGTGGCCTCGGGTCCCTACAGGAGGTTTTGAGCTGCTGACAGGGTGCTGCAAGCAAACCCCGGTCCTCTGCAAGAGCAGTCCACGTGCTCAGCTGAGCCATCTCTCCAGGTCCCATGATTTTCGTACTTTAACGTGGAATGAAACCGGCTTGGCTTCCAGATCCAGGGAGCTTGGGAAACAGCCTCTCCTGTTCTCTGTAGTTCCACTGCTGGCACCAGGTGCAAAGCCTGAACGTGAAGGAAACGGCAGCATTCTCGCTCTCAAAAGTTCCAGAGTGGCGGCTGACTGGACTGGAGAACACCCAGGAGAGGAGTGAGGCCTGTCCCGAGACCAGCGAAGGAGCAGGACCTCCCAAACATGGGCAGCGCCATCCCGGCGGCCGGGGTCCAGGTGGCACAAAGGAGGAGCCAGCTCTCGCTACCTCCCCTCTGCCCCCTGGTCATGGGATGTAACCACCCCTGCGTACATCCTTCCTGCCACATGTTTAGGGCACAGCAGCTGAGAAAATATTGACCAAACCTTAATGCTCTTGTTATCTGAAAGATGATCTCACTTTGTAGCTCAGGCCACCCTCCACCTTGTGACACTCCTGCCTTGGTGCCACCATGCCTGGCTACCAAATCCTGAACAGGAGAGGAGGGTCCCTTTCCTTCACCTTTGGCAGTGTGCTGCCGCACAGGAGGGCTCCCAGCCCAGGCCAAGCACTAATAAACCGGCTTCACCCCGGTCCCTGGCTGATGACGTCTCACTGAGTTGTGGATGGGGATCCTCTAGGAGAGGACCAGCAGGCACCACCAGGCAGCCAGCCAGTCACTTCTCTCTGCTTCCTCCGCAGTGACCCTAGAGTGTCCTCTCCACCCAGATGTGCGGCCAGCCTGCCTGTAGTGGGGTTAGTTTAAGATGTGCTACATTTGCTTATGGAACATTTGTTCAATGATGCAGAGATGTGTTGCGTTCTTTTATGTTGCATTTGTTTAACTCTGTGAAGCTGTGTTACTTTGTCTGTCTTAAACACCTGACTGGTCTAATAAAGCGCTGAACGGCCAATAGCAAGGCAGGAGAGAGGATGGGCGGGGCTGGCAGGCAGAGAGGATAAACAGGAGGAGAAATCTAGGGAAGAGAGTGAGGAGCGAGAAAAGGAGGAGAGGATGCCAGGGGTCAGCCACCCAGCCACAGCCAACCACAGAGTAAGAAGGAAAGAAAGATATACAGAATAAAGAAAGATAAAAAGCCCAGAGGTAAAACGTAGTTAAAGAGAAATGGGATAATTTAAGAAAAGCTGGCTAGAAACAAGCCAAGGTAAGGCCGGGCATTCATAAGTAAGAATAAGTCTCCATGTATTTATTTGGGAGCTGGGTGGTGGGTCCCCAAAGAGTTAAAAAAAAAAAACTACACCTGCCCAGAGCACTTACCAAAGGGCGGGGGATGGGCTTCTGGGGCTTCTTGGAGCCCAGCTTCTTCATGGCGTTGTAGTACTTCTTCTGTTCCTCCGTCATGAAGATGTCCTGACCTCCAAAGTAAAGGAAGGATGAGGAAAGCAGAATTAGAACCGGCTCTGGTGGCTGGACTGAGCGCCCACGGTCCAGAGGATGGACAGGCTCTCCTTCCAAGGTCAGCCTGGGGGAGAGCGCTCCTGCAGGGGTCGCTCCTGCAGGGGTCGCTCCCGGGGCAACTACCCAGTGTCAGCTTGGGCGTCTGGGGTCTGCCAGGCCATGCAGTGAGACAGGACTGTCCGACCACAGGCTCTCGGGACAGGACACGGAGAGCAAGGGACCAGAGGACAGTCACACCAAGGGGAATAAGAATGTATTGTTTTGTGATCCTGGATGGCCTGGAACTATGAAGAGAGATCTATCTGCCTGCCTCTGCCTCCTGAGCACCGGTGTTAAAGGTGTGCACTGCCGTGCCCAGTGCACACCTCCCAAATATTAAAAAAGAAGATTTGTGATAGGGCACTCACTTTTTATGAAATTTAACATTTGGAACTTGTGGTTCTTTCGACTCACCAGACAGACTGAACGTATAAACGAGAGTAAGTCTGCCATCCAGTTTGCTCTGGAAGAACCATGACCCATGTGGGGCAAGCGAGGGAATGAACCCCGAGGGCTTCGAGATCCCACGGGGCTACGGGTGCCAGGGGTCACGTGACAAGCCCTGTCTCTCACCACAGCCCTCTGGTGGAAAGCCCCCCAGGAGTGGCCTCGGGAACTCGAGGAAGCAGGGAAACGTTTGGTAAACCACACACCGCTAGATTCAGCCCCACGCCAAAGGGGTTGGCTGGGGCGCCCGCCGAACACGGGGGCCAGCGCTACCGCGGGGTGGCGGTCTGAGCTTCCGAGAGAGACAGATCCGCTCTACAGACGAGGCCAGAGCGCCTCTTGTCTGGGTTGACCTCTGGCCACTGGCAAGGAGGGGAAGAGACCTATCTTTTTCTTCTGTTGATTGAAGTTGTCAATGATGACGCCGATGAAGAGGTTGAGGGTGAAGAAGGAGCCGAAGATGATGAAGATGACGAAGTAGATGTACATGTAGATGTTGTCCTCGTACTTGGGCTGCTCGTCGGGCTGTGGAGGGAGAGGCACTCACGTCAGGTCAGACACGCCAAGGCTGCCGGCCCTGCTCTCCCTTCCTGCGGCTCGCAAACTGGGGGCGGAGGCCTCGTTCTCTCTGCTCCCCGGGTCCACCTGTCCTTCCTGGGCACCGTCACTTCCAGGGATCAGGGACAGGGAAGCGAGGGGGAGGGAGGGCTCCTTCTACCCTTTCCCTCAGGGGCGGGCCTAAGGGTGGTCGCGGCCGCCGCCAGGGTCAAGTGAACAGCATGAACAGCCGTGTGCGAGGAGGAAAAGGATCTACGGACAACAGGACAAGCAGTCAGTGTCCAGAGACACTTCAGGTCCTCCACTCTTCCCTTGATGGTCTACCATGCAGTTGCTTTCTGTCACTTAAGACGGTCACGTTTCACCACCCGTGTCCTTACCTTCCGGGAATCTACAGCTGCGTACATGATGTCCATCCAGCCTTTGAAGGTTGCCTGGGAAACAGAGCCAGTCGTTAGACTGTGCCCGTTAGGGAGTGGTCGGGAGTCAAGGCAGGGTCCTGACGGCCAGGCTTAGGTTTGGCAAGAATACAGGATGGGCAGGTCCAGTGTACGTGGACACAGGAGTCGCTTTACCGAGGAAGATTCTAAGCAGGCTCTGAGATTCCCTGAAAATATCACCAAATCGACCCAGACAGCGCTGACTGGACTGACGTTTGCCTACAGGGCCTGAGCGCAGAGCCCATGGCGACACTGGGGACTGTCCACTGGGGAAGCTGGACCACCACCAAGGAGTCACTCTTTCGCCGGGAATCCAATAAGCAAGGGTCTAAAATCCCCACAGCTGCACTAAGCAGGCAGACTGCAGGCTTGGAACTCATCCTCACTAAGACACCAGGCAGCCCTGTGACCGGCTTCTTCCCAGGCGGCCTTCTCTGCGTCAGCTGCTAGAGCTGGCGTGACGTAGAAAACACAGTCGGCCTGACAGTCACCAGCTGTGCAATGCTGCAGGCACAGGCCTGTGCACACCTGGAGTGAACACTTGCACGAGCGGCTGGCTGCACACACTGGGAGTGAACACTTGCACTAGCAGCTGGCTGCAGGCACTGGCGGTGAACACTTGCACTAGCGGCTGGCTGTACGCACTGGCGGTGAACACTTGCACGAGCGGCTGGCTGCACACTGACTCTCTGGCGCCGCTCCGATTCCAGTCATAAGCTCAACCTATTTCTTCTTTAAATAGCTAACTATTTTGTGGTGCTGGGGATTGAACCTAGGGCCTTGTCCATGTTAGGCAAGGGCTCTACCCTTCCGTTACAGCTTAAACCCAAGGAGCGCCAACTTATTTTATGTGCATTGGTGTTTCTGCCATGGGTCCCCTGGAACTGGAGTTACAGAAAGTTGTGAGCTGCCATGTGGGTGCTGGGAATTGAACCCGGGTCCTCTGGAAAAGCAGTCAGTGCTCTAACCACTGAGCAATCTCTCCAGCCCCCAAGCCTCAACTTCCTAACCTGTGACAGGCCAGCAAAGGCACCATCATGGGACAGGAATGCAGAGCATCCCAATAACTTCCCTTCTGCTGCATCGAACAGTGAGTGTGTCTCATGGTTAGCTGGGCTGGGCGCTTTGCTGCACTATTACATTTAAAACCAACAACAACTGAATGACACAGGCATGGTAATAACAAAATCATGGAATAACAGTTACCTTAATTAACTGCGTGCTAAGCATTGTGCTGAGATATTTTTTAATCACAAATTCTCTTAATAACTAGGCACGGTATCGTTATCTAGATTCACCAGAGGGTCACAGAAGTTGAGCGATCCGTCTCGAGTTACACATCCAGGACACGTTAGTGTGCCAGCTCCACCCCTGCCCGAGGCAAAGCCTCACCAACTCTCCCTGCGGCACGGTCTCATCCAACAAGTGGTCCAAGCATTGGTGAGGGGGCAAGAAAGCGAGGGACGGCAGAACGACACCCCCACCCCCACCCACGTCCGGGGCTGAGCTGCAGGGCTGGCCAATCCTTAGTACACCTCAGCAAAACTGTCCCCAGGGCTTCCTACTCTATCAAACTGGCCTCTGAATTCATCATCTCCCCTTTAACTGCACACTCCGCCTCGGGGAGAGACGGTCCGTCTAACACAGTGGTTCTCAACCTTCCTGACGCTGTGACCCTTAAAGACAGGTCCTCATGTTGTGGTGACCCCCCAACCACAAAATCACTCCATTGCTACTTCACAACTGTAACTTTACTACTGGTAAATAACACTGATCTGCGACCCCATGGGGGTCGGGACCCCCAGGCTGAGAACCACCGCTCTAACACCTTTTCCCACTGCAGCATTTCTAGGGGCTGCTCAGCAGGTTCTCCCGTGAGATCAGGGAAGCCAGGGGAAAGGTATTTCCCTGAAGCTGACTTGGGGAAGGCACGGTATCAAGAGCCCCGGAGAGTGAGCCTGACTCTGGGAGCAGGGTTGAGAAGGCCGTCTGCGCAGTCACACTCACCACCTGCAGAAGGGCCAGGTACCCTGCCCCCACGTTGTCAAAGTTGATCTTCACGTTCTTCCACCGGATCTCCGTGTTGTTGCCCTCCATGAGCTTTTCACAGTCAGTTTTATTGTTGACGATTTCAATTTCAAACCGGATTTCAGAAGTCTCATTAAAGCAGTAGTGGTACTTTCCCGCGAACAGGTTAACTCCCATGATGCTGAAAATCAGCCAGAAGATGAGACACACCAGCAGCACATTCATGATGGAGGGGATGGCGCCCACCAAGGCATTCACCACCACCTGCATTGGAAGGGGGAGGGAGGCTGCTGAGTGCTGGCAGGAAGTGGAAAGGCACATTCTTTTGGTTTCCAGGAGGGGAATGATATTTCTGTGGCTTTTCTGGCAAGGAAACACTATTTTTTTTTTTTTTTTTTTTTTTTTTTTGCAACTGGTGTTAACTGGACAGGTCCACAGACAGGACCCCAGATGTCTAAGTCTCTGTACTATATTTGAGTAAATTTTAATAAGTTGTGTTTTACTTCAGTTTATACAAATTCCCCTGCTCAAGCTGACTGATTTTTTTCTAAGCACCAACCTGGGACCAGAAAAACGATTTCTTAGTCCAGTCTCCCTCCTTTTCAACTGACCAAATACACCCCTCAGGGAGATCTGAGCAATTGCAAGCCTTTCAACAGACATTCCCCCTCTGAAAAACAAGACACGATTGTTCAGAGTCAGAGTGCCGCCCTCTGGGTCAGCACCGTACGGAGTCTTATAACTATGCAAGGCAGTTCTCTCTTTCAGGCAACAGCTGAGCATGCAGATTTTGCAGGCTCAAGGAAGAAGAAAAAGCTATATTCCCTCTACCAAACAGTTTAGATAAATCAGAGCAGACTCGAGTCTCCCTCAAGGTTCTTGGCTGCTCTGCCGCTGCCTTCTTACGCCTCTGCTCGGTCCAGGCCTCAACTCATTCTTCACAGTTTTAGAATTCAAAATGGCTTAAAGCTTTCTGGAGGATTTTGGGTTAGATCACTGCTCTTGAAACTAAAAAGACTGGCATACTGTTGAAAAAAATTAGGAAGTAAAGCTCAGGAACTAAGTTAGAAAAACAAAGAGCCTTTAGGAGTGGAAGTTTCCTGGTTTTGCATTATGCTGGAGGCAGCCAGGCGGCACCTCCCATCGCATCAGTTTTTGCCGGGCTCCGAGCTTACGAAGTAAACATTGGCGGTTGTGGGGCAACAATGCCTTGAGCAGAGCTGCTGAGGCCCAGAGCTGCCGAGGCCCAGAGCTGCCGAGGCCCAGAAAGGCTGTCTCAACAGCTTCTGCCTCAGACTGTACTCATGGAAGACATGGCCGAGAAGACATCTGCTCTGCCCTATGCTGAAAATAGCTGGCGCCTCTCTCCCTTCTAGCTCATTCATTTTGTGATTCTCCAATTCATGCATGAAGGTGTTTAGACTGGAAGGCAGTTGTTTCTTAATTCTCAGACCAAGAAATCTCTTATAGACCAAATAGTCAGTACTACAAATGTCTAATCCTTCAAGCAAGGGCACCCAGAATTCTTTATTCTGGAGATTCTCCATGTTATTCTGTGCACTTATTAAAAGTGCTGGATAATCGGATGTGACTTTTACCTCCTCACTCTATAGTTTTCACCTTTTGGTGGGAGCACCAAAAAGCCATGAAATGTGGAAAGGAACAGGAAAAGGGGATGATCCGCAAATGGACAGCTGCTTCCAAACAGCAGGAGCAGATTTCGCCAGGTTGTGCTAACTCATGTGTGTGGTAGCATCGTCACAATGGAGCTCGGGTGCACCATGGTGTGGGGCAGAGGGCTGCCCCCCCCCCCGTGGGGGGGGAGGGGGAGCCTGGAGATGCCGGATTTCACGGCAAGCCAGCCTGTCGTCTGCTCTGTGAATCCTTCCCACTACAGGGTGTTGCCCAGCTCCTGTCAACCTCGGTCTGTGCTGGTCTACAAAGGTGCCCACATGTTACAGTAAACTACGGGTGCCAGATACTTAGAGCAAGGGAGAACTAGCTAACCAGGGGTGATCTCTCTGAACCTTTGTTTTCACAAGTCTGTGGCTAATCTGAGCCTCACTGCTCACAGGATACAAAAATCCTACCAAATAAGAGGTATCTGTAAAATGTACTTTTCCCTCAGTGCTGGGACCTGAACCGAGGCCTCACACATGCTAGGCAAGGGCTTTTCCTCTAAGCATAGTCTTGGCCTCTGCAGTGGAGTTTTATTTTATTTTTGTTTTTTGCAGCAGGGTTTCTCTGTGTAGTTTTGGTGCCTGTCCTAGAACTCACTTTGTAGACCAGGGTGGCCTCAAACTCACAGAGATCTGCCGCCTGGCTCTGCCTCCTGAGTGCTGGGATTAAAGGCGTGCACTACCACTGCCTGGCATAGTTTTATTTATTAATCACAACTGCTGGAAAACTCCTCACCTTAGTTTTACAAATAAAACTGTCAACAGGTTTGGTGGAATTTACTCATGGCCTCTCTCTGCTGTGGACACTGGACACTGAGTGCTAAGCTGTGGAGCAGAATGAACTGTGCTCCCGAAGGACTGGCACCGTGGTGTTCTCAACAGCCACAAGGCAAGAAACCAGGCTCCCCTCTCCTGGACAGTACCCTCCTAATGACAATGTTCTCACTTGATACACTGCATTGCGCCCTCTGCTCTCTGGGTACGTCACACTGCCCTAATCATGATGAAATCTATCACTGGTAGAAGCTAGATTTCTACAGCTTAGACACAGAACTCAAGGCTGGGTTCTAGAAACCTGTAAGACAGGTTACATTTTTCGAAGGCAGCTTATACTTGGCAACTGATACAAATATAACTTAGTTGATGAGAAAACCCCACTGGATGTTAATGCTTACATTTTTACCATCCCCAGACTGCCCAGGACACTACTCTCGCCCATAAAACTCTGCAAAGTCTGTGAGATAGCTTTGAGCATCTGGCAGAGGGAACATGGCTTTAATGAGAACTATGTACCAACAACAGAGATGCATGCATGTTTCACAGCGGTAAACCCCTCGGAGTTAACAGCAAGGTCTGAAGGGTACACACTATGGAGGAGAGAGAGGCAAGGGACGGCTGTTCCTTTGCCAACAGCAGGGCTGTTGCCATTTCTGGTCTTTGGTTTGAGGAAGGAGAGGAGACTGACGTGAGTACCCCAGGACAGCTAGGGTGACATTCCCCTTTCAGGTGAAGGGCGGAGCCTAGGACCGGAGCAGCACAGTGACAGTGAAGCCCGTCTGCGTGGATGACGGCCAGTGGGTCACGGTTTCTTAGCTGAGTTTTAGGTGGCATCTTGCAAAGGCTGGCATGTTGAAGAAGCCAAGCTACCGAATGAAAACATACACCCCATGGGAAATCCTACTTGAACAAACACAGGTACTGCTGGGTACCTTGCCATACATGTAGCTGGCATGTATCTTGCAGATACTCTTCCTGAGAAGGGCTGGCAGGCCCCAGGGCAGGTCCTCTGAGCTCTCTCCGCTTGCCCAAGAGACCAGTTAGTACTGCCGCTGACGGAGAGTGGCATCTCTGCCCCTTCCCCACACTGAGGACTACTGCTTCAACTTGCAGCTTTGGGCTCTCAGTGGCCCATATATATATTACCTTAACCAAAACCAGCTAGGTAGTTTAAAAATGAAACTCCCTCTTGAGCTGATCATCTATTCTGGACTTTGGGCTTCTTATCTACTTGGGAGTTGGCAGGTCCAAGTTTTGGGGGGAATGGCAAATGAGAGAGAGGTGAGGGAAGGTAGGGAAGGAGTGAGTTGGGGGAGGGAGGGAAGGTCACCGGAAGGATTCCTGCACCTGGAACTCAAACCACTTTCTCTGAGCAAATGCCTCCAGCTGGTCCACAACAACTGCTTTTGACACAGTGACAGGAATGAACAGCCAGATGGAGAGATTTCCTAGTGCCAGCTGGGCATGCTGGGGGCAGTCTGTAGGCAGTGGCGACCTCCTTTAGGAGGCCCGGGGCCCTTGTTAGGGACTCAGCTCAGTACTGCAATCGATGCCTTTGAAGGAATGGTCGTGGCTGCACCCTGTCCAGAGGCTTTCCGCCACCGAGTGGACTATTAACTCTAGAACTCCCCAGGCTTATTCTCTTATGGAAAACTCGGGCAGGCGGGGGAGCAGAGACAGGCATCTTAGTCCTGTTTTTCACACCGTGGCCATTTCCATCATCGACGGAAGCAGCACACGGTAGGAACGGTGTCTGGCTTACCCACACGCTGGGACCTCTCTTACTCGTGGGAGCAAGACCTAGAATTCCTCTTCAATTAGAATAAATTTATGCCCTGGAACTGCCCTTCCTGCAGCAGGCTTCCGGAGGGCTACTGAAGGCTCACGTTTAGTAAGCGGAACCGTCACTGTGCTACAGGATAAACTCGAGGCCGACAGCATTTGTTTAATACTCTAAAATAATAAAATTCCTAAGACCCTGCAAGAGTTTCACCTTCCTGTACAGCTGTGGACTAGTGGCTAGGGTCACAGAGGACGAACGGGCACAGCAGCGCTGTCCTGGTCTCTAGTCTTACGTCACGTGGACCACTGCAACTGCTCCATTTCCACGCCTACGCTCGGACATGTGCACATTTAAAGACATCCTCTGGCTTGCTCTCCTGCATGTGTGCAACGTCTAAAGTGAAGTGAGCTTTCTTGGGCTCCGTAAGTATAACCGGCCCCTCTGATTGGCACAGGGCAGCTATCACCACCAAACTGGCTGTCCATGTGGTTTTCTAGAAAACAACTTTTTAGCGTGTGTGCACACATCTGTGCACACTAACAATCATTAAAACCAAAAGAGACAAGAAAAGGCGTCAAAAGAGAAGGCCTTGTTTCTACATGGCAGGTGACAAGCCCTGCGTGTCTGGACGTGGGGAGTGTATCTATCGTCCAAGTGGGAACAGGGAGGGGTCTCAAGAAATTTCAGAACTAGCTGATATGCAGTCACCTCGCATTGTCTGCTGTTCTGATGGAGTGAGACAGGGACCACAGAGCGTGGGCGGGGGGTAGGGGTGAGGAGAAAGCTTCGCCATCAGACAGAGGCTGCCAGTCCTTATGGGACTGGGCTGAGAACAACAAGGTGCAATAAGAGGAATCAGAACAGAAAGAAAAGCATCTCTTCTCCCGGGATCACGCCGAATTCTGCTCCGTCCCCAGTTCCAAGCCTGCCACCCTGTCTCCAGGGCCCTCCTTGGCTGCTTTCTCAGTGACCTCAAGGCCACAGGCCCCATCCGGCTGCTGCCCCTACCCAGCATTCTGCCTGCCTTCGACCTATGCTTTTCAGTGGGTCTCTGGGTTAGAATTCCCCTTCTTTGCACCTGGTGATTCTCCCTATAAATCCAACAGCCCAGAAAGCCGCCCCGAGTGCTACGGTAAAGCCAGGCCAGATGAGAGGAGCCAGTGTTAACGTGTTCTGCAGCCGCACAGTGTTGGGGGCAGGGCCAGTAGTCATGTGATGAGGCAGCTTTAATGCAACTCCCCTGCACACGGGGGGCAGGTGCCAGGGGGAAAGTGGAGAGTCCAATCAGCGGCTGCATCACAGAGTTTGTGTTGGAATGACCTTCCCACCATGTGATCAGTTCTAGCATGCTGTAACAGTTTCCATTGGCATGCAGAAGGATCGGCTGCTCTTAATAGCTTACCCTCATCCCTTCAAATCGTGATAAGGCTCTTAAGGGTCTCAAAGCTCTTAGGGTCCTAAGGGACTTTATGGCACCTAGTTCCGAGTAGCCCAGGGCATTAGCTATAAGGCTGACTAAAGAGACCTACACGGAGACAGAAGAGAAAAAAGAAAAGAAAAAAAAAAAAGAAAAGAAAAGAGAAGAGAAGAGAGGTTCCGGAGTGTTAGAATAAACCCCTAGCACTGATTTAACAGCCCGGGGCCCCAGCAGAGGAAGTGGGTGACACCGGCTGCCTACTTCAACTTGACTCAAACCTGGAAGGAAAGGCGGTTGAGAGAGGAGGAGAGAAACAGGGGGAGGAGAGGGTGAGGGGCAGGCGGCAGGACACACGCAGTTGGAAAGGGGAGAGGGAAGGGGGGGAGGAGGAGGAGGAGGAGGAGGTCCCACTGAAGGAGCCTGAAGGGACGACAAGAACCTTACCCTCGCCCTTTACAGTCTGCGGCTCCCAGAAGTTCCCATTAAATTAAGCCAGACAAACTTAATGGTACCTATGGAAAAGAATACAGATAAATACAGACACTCCACACCAGCTGCCCCTCCTCAGCTCAGCCACCATGGAGTTTCCGACAGGGACAAGCTCTCTTATCCTGGTTGACAAGAAATCATTTGAGAACAGGATGAGCCACTACATTAACAAAGGAAGCATGGTCAGTCAGTTCCACAGGTGACTGTCTTTCCCAGGAGCCTCCTCGGTGGGATTCTGGCTACTTACACAGTCCCTCTCTCGCTCTTAACTATAACCTCCATCTTTTAAGCCCAACTGTCACCCTTCGTGGCCATAGGACCCTTTGTGGCCACAGGAACCAACTCCATACTTGTAACTTCCTTCTTCCCTTCCAGATCAGCTCCAAGTGTACTGGCCTCTGCCAGTTCCAAGACAGTCTTTGGTTATTCTCCTCCTTACACTAATAACTGGAAGAATTCCCGGGGAGAGGGTCTTCCGCTGTCAGTGGTAGCTCGGAGGCCAGGATGGGAGGCACACTGCTAACCTGGGCCAGTGCTCGGTCTCCCTGGGCAGGCTATGGAGACCTATCTCCGGCATGCAGGTGACATGGCAGTATTTCAACACATCATCAATGTCTGAACCGCCCAGAGCTGAACTGCTGACATCCTGGCGTGAAGACCGCAGGCCTAGACTCAGGTCAACACCTCCCTGTTCCCAAGAGCAAACTTACCTTGCTCCTATTATCAGGATGACTCTCAAAACTGGGTACTAGCCACACCTAGAGCTGCCTGGGCTTGACCTGAGCAAGACGGGGGCCTCCTTGGGGGCACCGAACATACCTTCACCCAATCATATCTGAGAATGTCTGAGCCTGGGGTTTCTCATGGCAGCCTTTTTCTCATGTCAAGGCCTACTGTATCTATACATGACTCTGGAATGGGCTAAGATATCCCTCTACTGGAGTGGGAGCTGGAAGTCTACTTTGATTAACGTCTCAAAGCCAGAGCCAGTGAGAAAAGAGAAAAAAACCTACAACTTAGTTTCATCTGCTGCTTTTGGTCTCTTCCTTAGCTTGTTTTCATTCTGTGTCTCCGAAGTATGCATTTGTGCACACACACAGATACCTCTTTCTGCATGGTTTGGAACTGGAGATTAGACCCAGGACTTGTGTATGCTAGGCAAGTGTTTTATTACTGAGCTACATACATAAACATTTAAAAAACAACTTTTTTTTTTTTTTTTTTTTTTTTGGTTTTTTGATACAGAGTTTCTCTGTGTGGCCCTGGCTGTCCTGGAACCCAATCTACAGACCAGGCTGGCCTTGAATTCACAAAGATCTGCCTGACTCTACCTCTTGAGTCCTGGGATTAAAGGCCCCCGAGCCTGGCTATATATATATATATATATATTTTTTTTTTTTTTAAGTAAGAAGACATTTTATAATTCAGTACCAGGATTAGTGAGGACAGAAGCAGAATGAAATAATAGGAAGTAGGCTTAAAGGAGTCAACTTTAAAATAGGTGCAAGCCCACGTGTGCATGTACTCATAACCCCTCAGCTTTGGTATCTTCTACGGAGTCGAGTCCTAGGTAGTGTTCAAAGCTAGAGGAAGGAGGCACAGCCCTGTTAGGCGCTCCATGTTCCGTGAAGGTGGTGCAAGGTTGATCTTCACTCAAGTCAAGGGCCTCCAAACCCTGATCTAGAACACAGCAGCCAACCTATCACTTTCTTTTTATTTATAACAATTAGTACAAATTTATATAGAGCTGTCTCTTGGCTACTATGGCCAGGACAAGCCAACTATTCTCTTTAATTTACAAAAAGACGGATTTTCTTTTTAAATTATGTGTTTGCCTGTGCGTGGGTGCATGCATGTGAGGCTGGGGTCTTGTCATTCCCCTGGGACTGGAGTCACCCGGGTGGTGGAGATTAAACTCGGGTCCTCGACGAGAGCGAGCGGTCAGCACTTTTAATTGCTGACTTACTTCTCCAACCCGCAAGCCAACCTTAACCCCAAGTAGTCTCAACTGCCTGACTGTTAGCTGGTCTTAATGGGGACACCTGAAGGTAAGCTGCCCCATTTCAACTCAAAAGTCCTCTGCGCCAGCGTCACCTTGTGAAGCTTTGGCAGGTGACAGATGTCTAGGGACCCCACGCCAGGCAGAGAGACCCCAGCTCTGGAGGATGGGGACTTTAAGAAGGACACTACAGTGTGAGGGAGGGTAGAGGGGTACAGAGGCCAATGAAGAGGCTGGCTGGAAAGCCGCGAGAGGCGATCTGCTCAGCTGCTCCACTGAGCCAAGATCTACAAGGCAAGATCAGCAAGGGTCTCCTCTGGACTGTTCCTCAGCTGATGGCACTCTCAGTCTCCAGGGTCTCCAGTTAAACTCCTATAGGACATAATCAGAACATTTGTTCAAGTGTACAAAAAACCTAAAAAAGAAAGAAAGAAAAAAGAAGCAGCGATAAAGAGACAAAATGAGGCCATGCGGGCAGAGAAGGAAGCCAACACTGGACGGTGTCTCCAAAGGGCGTTCCAAGGAGAGAATGTTTTCAGTAGGCCAAGGTCAGTCTGAGGTTCCCATTCCTGAACAGATGTGCTAGCTAACCCCCGACAGCAATGGGAAAACGTCCCCTGGAGAAAGATGATAGATTTCTTTTACAGGGCACATAAGCCGACGTAGACAAAGACCTGAAAAATTAAAACAGGACTGTTTGGGAATTCGCATGGCTGACTAATAAAGAGAACTATCTAAGCTGTTACCTGGACTCTCCTCCTGGCCCTGTAAAAGCAGAGCTTACAGTGGCTTTGAGAGACGGTGGGGGGAAATGAGACTCTCTCAGGGCAGCAGGCCTGGAGATAACAACTAGTTCTGACACGAAGTCACCAGTGGGCGAGATGGGAGAGTGTTGCAGATATGGTGCTAAGTTAGGACCTAAAATTTACAGCTACAAGCTCTACAATGTCCACAGAACGAGACACATTCCTCGGTGGACAGCAACACTCTTGGTGGCTCTAGTTATCTGGGTGCCAATCAATGCCTTATTTTCCATCCACATCCCCCCTCCCCCAGACAAGGTTTCACTGTCTAAGAGCCCTGGCTGTCCTGGAACTTGTTCTGTAGGTCAGGCTGGCCTCCAATTCACAGAGATCCACCTGCCTCTGCCTCCTGAGTGCTGGGACTATTCGTCCACAATTTAAGAGTGACAATCTCCACCATCACTGGGGAGGGTATCCCTACACAGCAGGCTGTGCCTCTGGGTGTGTGTTTCATCTTTTTAGGCTCTGACGGAGAAGCAACTGGGTTTGATATTCTTTATATTCTCTACAACATGGAGCAGGCTTTGCCCGCCATGGATATTCAATAGACATTGGACAAATGAATAAATGGACAGAGGGAAGAGGTCAAAGAGTGTGGTTCCTATGAGAGCCCCGTTCTCACAGCCTGGGTTACCTTGGTCTAGAGCTAGGTTAGAGTTCCTGTGGAAGCTGGTATAAGCTCTCCAGGGCTGGGGCCATCTCTGCCTGTCCTCCTGGGACTCCTTATAAACTAAGGCAATTCCAAACAGAACACAGCATTCAACTCATGCTGATTATAATCTTCAGAGCCAATGTGAGCAGTCCAGCAATTCCAAAAGCTAGAGGAACTGATGGGTTATAGTCAATTAGTATATGCCTTTTGGTTTGTTGTTTTTTGAGACAGGGTTTCTCTGTGTAGCTTTGTGCCTTTCCTGGAACTCACTCTGTAGCCTAGGCTGGCCTGGAACTCACAGAGATCCACCTGCCTCTGCCTCCCGAGTGCTGGGATTAAAGGCGTGCGCCACCACCGCCCGGCTTTCATATGCCCATCTTATTGCTTTACCTTCTTTCTGCCTAATATAAGAAGAAAACACTTGATAAATAAGTGGCAATCTGTAGGTGAATGTGCCTAGTAGCACACTTGGGTACAGGGGTGTGTGGCATGACCTATCTGACCACATCCTTGGATCTGGGATTGCTCAGCCCAAAGAGGAACTGGTTCAAGTTGGGGTTTGGAGGAAAAGGGAAACTTGGTTCCACATCACAGTTCTTGGGCAGCTAGAGCAGGTCGTGGACCTATCTATCTGAGTAGTCCTCAGTGAGCCCAAGAGAGGAAGGGCTCTGTGGGCATCTTCCCGAGTCGAGGTGCCCTGGGGAGTTACTATGTGTTTCCCCTTCTCTAGGAAGAGAGGCAGCCTAGTCTCTGACACCATTCTACACTCTTCCCCACAAGCTGGAATCCACAGCTGCTTAGGTGTCCAGGTCTACTAACTGCAAGGACCTGCCTACTTCCCTGGGGCCATGCCTATTGCTTACTTTAAGGTTGCAGGTGGGCCTCTTCACCCTATTTACATATCTTCTCAAAGGCTGTTCTTGGTTGTCAACTTGACTACATTTGGAATTAACTAAAACCCTAAAATGGAGGGGCACACTTGTGAGGGCTTTCTGCTTCCTTTGAAGTAGGGAGATCCACTTCTAATCCAGATCTTTGAGGCAGGAAGACCCACCTCTAATCTGGACCACACCTTCTCCTGGAAGCCTAGATAAGGACATGAAAGAAGGAAGCTTTGCTCTTGGCCTGTTTGCTCTCACAAGGCTAGCAAGTCCATACCTTTATTGGCACTGGAGCCTACTACTGGTACTCTGGGATATACTTAAGACCAGCTGAGACATCCAGCCTCTTGGACTGAACAATGACTGGGTTCTTGGACCTTCGGTTCATAGGCAGCCATTGTTGGATTAGCTGGACCACAGCCTGTATGTCATTCTACTAAATCCCCTTTCTGTATATAGAGATTCGGGCTGTAAGTTCTGTTCCCTAGAGAACCCTGAACAAGACAGCTGGCTCCCAGATGCAGACATGGCCACAATGACAGGTCTCAAAGTGGTCACTAACATGGGAAGGGGGTGCATTTATGAAGCCAAAGTCATTGCTGTGGAAGTCCTGGGCTCCTGCTACACGAGTTAAAAAGACTTCCTAGGTGATCTGCCCTAGGTCCCAGAGGTATTCCACAGGCAGTTTGCCACACGGCCCACCCAGTCCCCAGCCCCCAGCCCCTCCATCTTTCCAGCCCTTCTCAGCACCCGGGGAAACTCTCCACAGCTCTGGTCCCGTGATTCTCACGCACTCTTTCTGTAAATGCTGCAAGAGAAACATTTTAGCTACTACAGAAAGAGGAAGACAGTCATGGTTAGTGAGGTGGGGGGGGGCAAGAACTGGCGCAGTGAGAAACTGCCAACGATGCCACTGCCTCCAACCTGAAAACAATATGGCGGCTCACAGTCGTGAAGCCTTGGGGAGGGTCAGTCAGCCTGGAGGGGGAAAGCTTTCATTTGGTGATCACAGCAGAAATGGCAACACCACAGGCCTTCTTCCCAGGAAGAGTGGCTTGACGGACACTTCTGGGAAACATCTACGGGCATGGACATGAGTGACAGACCGTGCCCCATCCCCGCATCCCACCTCATCCCCACATCCCACCTCATCCCTGCACCTCACCACATCCCCGCATCCCACCTCATCCCCACATCCCACCTCATCC